TTAACCAGCCTGTGCCTTCAGCGCGGCAAGCAATCCGCCTACCAAAAGAAAGATCCACCGCCTCAGTAACGACGTGCCTAGGATCAACAGGAGTGCCCGACTTGCACGTGACGTCCGTAGCACTGGAATCGTCCGACGCGTACCCTGCAGGGGCCGCGTCCGTGGGGTCTACTTCTTCGGCCATCGCGTCAGCTTCATCTCCATCATATTCTTGTTGATCGTTCTTCTGATATGGGATCAGCGGGTTTCCCTGCGTGCCAATTTCGATTAACTGCATCAAAGGATGAAGAGGTGACAAGTTCTTCCAGATGAGGTTTGATCAGGCTATTTCATCAGCTGTGGCGTGGTCGTAGTCGCACTCCGTCAGCTGCTCCTCATATGGCGTTGTATTAGGATCGGTGCAGTGACCCCGATCATCGCCATGATACCAGGCCCGCGGTGTTCTCTTGAAACTAGGGCTTCTTGATGGGCGTCTCATGGGAAAACCAATCCAGTGGTCGGCATATTCGGGGCATGAGCAACACGAGTTTCTGTAGAGCTGCCGTCCCTCGATGATAACTCTTGTGAGGTTGCGCGTGGCCATCTTGTCCAGTGATTTAGCAAGTCCTGTCCTTTTCGAGCGTGCGATCTTGTCTTCTTCAATTCGTTGAACATTGCGAAGAGAATGCCAGTGGCAGGTCTGGTGCTCAGTCCAACCCTGATCCCGCCAATCCTGCATGTTATCTGGGCGTGTGTGCCGACGAGCCAATCCAGCTTCCGTGTGACCAGCGAGGCGCTGTATCCCGCCTTCTGGTTCTTCTTCTCGCGGTTGATCTTCCTGGGGCGGGCGCCCCCGCATGCGCCCCCTCCTCGGGGGAGTTGCAGGTCCATTGGCTTGCCATGGCGGGGCCATTGGAGTTCCCGCGACAGGGGGATGAGGGCGCTGAAGACCCCTAGAGCGAGCGCCACTGGAGCGGGCGCGCGCGCGATCAAGTGAGCGACTGGGGGTCCGACCGCGACGTGCCATGCGATCGTTATCCCCCCATTCGTCGTCCTCGTCGTCGGCGCGATGCTTCCTCCTCCAGACCTGGCGACTTGCCGATCGCTTCTGGCGGCCGTGGGCCGATCTGAAGCAACGACGGTGCATTGAAATTCTTCATTATGGCCGAGCTCGCATTGAATGCGCCCAGATAGATCACTTGCGTCTCGCGGATTTCCCCGCAAAGGATCATCGTCACTAAATTCCATATCTGTCGGATTTCCAGTAACCCGAGGAAGAATCATCAACTGTATTTCCTCGTCTGTTGCAGAAATGGTAACTTCTGAATCCGAGGGTGCCCCCGCCATGTCAGCATCTCCTTCGGCGGGCATGTGAAAGTTCTCGACGCATTCGATATCTGCAGGTTGCCCCGCGATGGGTCTGCCCAGCCATTCTGCCAGATCGATGTCGCTGTGGCCAGTGATCGCCTCCTCGAACAGCTCGCCGGCGTAATTCTCGAGGGTCATGCTGGCGCTGAGATATCTGGCAGCCGTGAAGTTGACGACTGCAGCTGAGCTATCGGCAAGGTCAACCAAAAGAGACCCCCAATCAACGTACTGTATGTCAGAGTCGGTTTGAGCCAGATGCATTGACGGACCCCTGCCTCTTCCATCACCTCGAGGGCATTCGCGGCGGAAGTGGTGTGAGCTGTGGCATATGTCGCACTCCATAATCTTACCGTTGGCATCCTTTGGGTTTCCCTGGCGTCCTTTGCCTTTTCCCGACGCATGCCTGCGGTTTCTGCCTGTGCCTAAAAAACGTTTCTTCATGCCGTGGCCCAGTGAGAGATGCTAAGAATGCCAATATGACTCTACCATGCAATCGCCGACGCTTACCCCTACCTTTACTGCGACCCTTGCCTTTTCCTTTGAGTGCTCGTCGTGCGATGCGCCGTACCTTCCGGACTGGTTTCTTCATGAACCTCCGCCATCGACGCTTGTGTTTTTGGTATCTTAAAAATAACCATTGCGCTTGTTGCTCTTCCGTGATGTATGTAGGCATATCCGAGAAAACTCCTGGGCCAGGCTTCGGGGGCCGCCTGACACGGCATCCCCCATGCAAGCCATGACACTAATGGGCTTAGCGGGACAACCCGCCGAGTCCGACGTCGACTCCGGTACTGATGCCGATACGTCTTCAGACGATGAAGCCACAGAGGCCATCCACAATTCTGAGCCAGCAATGTTGTGGTCTGTTGGTTGCGAATCATCATTCCGGACGTTGTTGGCAGGTTGCCCTGCGTTAGCCTCCGCGTGAAAGGTCTCGGTTCGGTGGCCGTGACTGACGATGCCACCAATATTGCCAGGAGTTCTCTCAGCAATGTGAGCATGTGACCTCGTGCGTTCGAGTAGAGCGTCAAATTGTTGTTGGTCTCTCGGCATGTGGTGGTTTAGAAGCTGCAGGAGATGTTGTGCACGCGATGTCCCCACTCCAAGAGCTCTGAACAAAATCGCTGTTAAGATTTGGAAGTTGGGGATATTGAAGCCGGCTGTTTCAGCTTCATAGCGGGCTGTCTCAAAACGTGCTAACGTCTGGTCGATGCGTTTTCCCGCATGGTCTCGAGAGTCAATGAGAGCGGTATCAGAGTTGAGTTGGCGTTCCTCTTCTAAATTCTCGAACTTCGTGCTTAAGAAGAACATGATGTAGGTGACGCCGTCAGTATGGCGGCCACCAGTGTTGACGCCAAGGTTGATCACTGCTGGAGGGACTCTCATGGCTATGGTCCGTGCGAGACCTCCCAAACCTCGCTGCAGAGCTGCAGCCTGCTGGGAGGGCGTCATATTGCCTGTGGTCATGTTGATCCAGGTATGTTCTTCGTGGACGAATTCGCGAAAAGATACTTGGCCGGCTGGGTCCCAGTGAGGGCCGGTCGTTCTTGTGTCGTCTCCGCCACGCATTTGTCCCACCGCACACCCGATAGCGACCCATGTGAGCCCAAAGATCGTAACACCAATCCAATGGCCTCGTCAGTCATGGTCGGATGTCGTCGGTTGGGACTTCCGTTGGGTAGTCGTAAGTCTGCGTGGGGTTGGGGGCGGCACTATGTCGTATCGCATGCTTCCATGCATTATATGTTCGAAGAAGTTTCCACTTGGAGTAGGTGGGTGGGCTTCAGGAGTGTAGAAACGCAGGGATCTAGGATGTAAGTCAGATACCTCCGCTTGAACAGAGGTATCGCTGCAAGTGTCCTTGCGATAGTGCGTAGGTATATACATTCCTCCGCGCATACCCACTGCACCCTGATGTTCCACCATGTCCGTAGTCCACCAGATAATGCCGTGGATGGTGAGGAGTAGAGCAAGAGCTGACCACCATAGGCCAGCTCCGCTACCAAGTTTGCAGGGGGCTGGGAGGCCCAGCCAACAGCTTCGCCTTAGGCGAAGCCAAGCTCCAGCTCTGTTGTACCGTAGTAGCGATAGTCCCAGTAGGAGAGGATGTGCCATCTTAAGCAATCGGAAGATCCTTTTTGGTCTCGATAGCGATTGTGTGCCTCGCGATGGGGCACAATTATATTTGGGCGGCTGGCCGCTTGAGCCGACGCGGCCGCGGGCGCACGCTCGCTTCCGCTCCTTACGTCCCTCAGCTCGCTTTAGAGTACGAAGCGCTGTACTGGGTGGGTGAAGCGCAGGGAGGAAGGAGGAACGAGGGGAGGGAGGATGGGAAGGAGGAGGGAGGAAGGAGGCGGGAGGAGAACGCAGGGACCGTCTCTTCAACACGAGGACCCAACACCACAGGATGGTTGGGAACAAGGCAATGCCAAACACTGCCAAGCATGGTGCGTTTACTCAGGACTGGCGCCCTTGCTTGCGGCCGGAAAGCTGGCCTTACAACACAAACAACGCTCCCGCTCGATCCTTCCGTTTGTTTCGCTCAGGAATGGCGCTCTCGCCTCGGCGTTGCAAGCCGTCCGACCAACGACAACAGCGCTCACGCTCGATACCTCCCATCATTTTACTCAAGACTGGAGCTCATGCTCGCCGCCGGAAACCAAACCTCCAAAAACACCAGCGCTCCCATTCGATGTGTCTCAGTTTTTTACTCACGAGTAGCTCTCTCGCCTCGGCGATGCAAGTCGCCTTCCCTACAGCAGCAACAGCAGCAGCAACAATAACAACGCTCCGACTCGAGAAGTTCGTCTCAGCATCGCCTCTCGAGGGCTTCTGGGCGGCCTCAGGAATGGCTGAAAAGGTCGCAATGAAACCCCAAAGGGCCCAGAGGATATATGTTTATCTGTAGGAGCGGCCCAAGAAGCCTTCGGACCACCCCACCCCACATATAATACGACATCCAAGATAGTTAACTGATGAGCTTGGGGGCGCCCGGAGGGCACAGGGGCCAGGCAAGGAATCCTGCCCTGTTCCCCCCTTTTGCCCCTGCTCAGTTCGTGAGGCGGTCTCCTGCGATGGTCTCTCTCTCTCTCTATCTCTTTCTCTGCCCCTCCGCATACTGCGCGGCATGCCCCAAGCCAAGCGGTGGGTACCTCCAGCCTCCCGTCTTCGGCTCCCATGTTGCACTCGTGTGCGCTGGATGATCGTTACTACCAATCCATGATTCTCTTGGATGTTTGCCATTGTGCCTTCATTTGTCTGCCTAATCTCTCACGTCTGCGACCCCTCCCTGGCCCTGTCGCGCATTGCGCCCCGCGATGCGCGGTTATCTTCGCGCCCTTGCGAGGTCCCGCTACAGAAGGGAAGCTCTCGGGCCGAGACCTCGACGCACGAAGCGCGATGATCTTCGCGCCCCTGGTAGTAACCTGGTCAAATTGCTCCCCCCACCATTGCCGAATCCCGGAAGACGGTCATCTCTGGGAAGTGCACTTTTTACTTCCGCCTGCTTCCGCCGGCGGAGCCGCCCTCGCCTTACGTCCCCTGGCCTTCCGCCGAGGCAAAGGTCGAGGTTTCGATCCCTCGAAAGCAGGGCCCTTTCTGGAACGTCACGCGTCCGCTCCCACTACGCCCCTGCCCCCGCTCGAGGCCGAGGCCTCAGGTCCCAGCCCGCACTCTGCCGCCCACGCCCGCAGGCAGGCAGAGTCGCGCGCCCCGACCGCGTACAGGCGAACCTTGCAGGGAGGGGGGGCCGAGGGGGAGGGGGCAGGGGGCGGGAGCAGAGACGATGGGGACCAGCGTAAAACTAAGATGCATCAGCGATGATGCAATACACCCTCCGTTCCAGAGACCCCGCCTCATGAGTCCGGACGAGCCTTCCTTATCACTGCCAGGACAGCTCCCTTGAAAGACCTGGACCCTGTGGGCCTGCCATTCGGGCGAGAGTCCCGTTTTGAAGCGTGACTGCCTGGTTTCGCTTGAGCGACAAGTAATCGATTCGAAAGGATATGATCAGACACTTCAACGAAGTGTTCAGTGACATCCCCGTTGTCAGAAAACTGCCGCCCCCCTCTATGTGAATGCTTCAATAGTTTACGCCTGTGGTCGTATTGTCATGCATGCACTTCGAGCATGTCTCAAGCGAGAGTCCCAGGTGGAAGAGGAACCGTCGTCCATTCGTGCAGCTGCTAGACATGTTCAAGCTCCTTGTCGTCGAGTTCGAGGAACTCTCAAGCGAGAACTCCATTCTGAAAATGAACCGTCCTCCATCCATGTGGCGGTTGCAAGCTTTTTAAACGCATGTGCGAGGCGCTGAGGCGAGAACCCCATTTAGACCATACAACGGCCCTCCATCCATGTAGCTCTTACACACCTTGAAGACGAATGTGTGCGGCGCTAGGGCGAGAATCCCATTTTGAGAACGACTTTCTTGATCCATCCAATTGCTGCAAGCCTTCAAGACAAAAATGCGGGGCGCTGAGGCAAGAACACCCTTCTGAAAACCATCCCTCCAACCGTGTAAGTGTTGCAAATATTCAGCTTCAGGAACATCGGTGGTGAACATGTTTCAGGCGGAACGCCCAGCCTGCCCTGCCGGCACGTCTGGGGGTATGGCAGGGTGGAGCTATTTCCTAGGGAAGGGGGGGGGGCGGGGAGGCAACTTGCAATTCAAGGATTCGTCCTCATCTCCCTCGGGTACACGGAGGCCTCCCCCGAAGAAGAGACGCAACAGAATGCTGGAGGACGCTGGCGCGGCCAGCCTGCCATTTATCCGCCGTCGGCGATGGCCTCCCAACTCGGTGCAACACCGCACTTGGGGCCCATGCTGTCTCGCGCCTTCCGTAGCCTTCCTGCTTACTCATGCCCTCCCATCCCACGTCTACGAGATGGGGGATTTACACATAACCACCGCCTGGAGATCGGTCATCGGGAACATCTCCAGGCGGCGGATATGGATACATTCGCCCCCCCCGCCTCGCAACGTCTCTCTTCCCCGATGCTTCTTTATTCACGCTTTTGTCTCACGCTGCATTGAACTTCGAAGCGACCTGTCACCCCGCCCGTCGGCTCTCACACCCCTCATTGAAACCGTCCTGTCAATTTTTTCCTCGGCCGCGCCTGGCCGTGCTAGCCAATTGCCCCTCCGACGGCAAACGACGTATGCTTCACATGCCCTGCAAAGTCGTGCCCTGTACTGGCGGAAGAGTTCGTTTCTCCGTGTCCGCTCACTCGCCGCGGCCTCCGCCCCCCCCCCCCCCCCATACGGTGGGCTGCGTTCCCGACCCTCACGCGACGTCGCCTTCGACCCCCTCTGGTGCGCCACCCAGGAGCATTCCACCCGCGCATAGTAGGCTCTCGCCAGCTGCCCTCTCGCCCGGTCGAGGGCGGCAGGGGAAAGGGATGACGGAGTGGGCGGGGGAGGTGGGGGGGAAGGGCTCTGGAGGTGACAGCGGTGCAGAGGCTGGGGCCTCACCCCGAAGGTCAGCAATGGCCCAGCAACGATACGATTTGAGACGCAGAAGTGCGCCAGCAGTATAACGGCGCACGAGAAACAGACTGCACATGCAAAATGTGCTGCCTAGAAGAAGCTGCGGGGCACGTTGCCAAATAAGGTCAATAGAAAGTCTGCGCTCCATTGCCACACGCACAGTAATGAAGGTTCCCCAGCGTGGACCGCAAACAGTGGGGTATTGCATTGTGGTTGTGCGTCCACAGGCGGCCACCGGGCGAACGCCAAGAAAAACAGGCCAACGCACAAGGCGCCCACGAACTGCCCACGGGCGGAAACCTAACACAACAGGCCAGCGTACATACCGCCTACGAGGCGCCCACTTGCGCCCATGGGCCGCCGCCGAGCGAATATATTGCAAGCGGGATCCAGGACTTTTCAGTACAAAAACAATGAAGAACCCGTGATCGTCTACGGTGGATGCCGAAATGTATTCATTATGGTACTTCCGATTGTAATCGACCTGCTAAACGCTGAATGGCAAACGTGTGGAGATAATATCGCAACGGCTCAGCGGCCGACATGTAATATCACGCTTGTTCCAAATATCGCTCCCAACTCTTTCATACTGGGGCTCCCTCCACGGTGGCACCCAATCGGCAAAATCAGCATGGCGACAGACCCCACCTTTCGTAATTGTGATCGCCGTAATTGTGAATGCCATCTTCGCCCGCGCTCCCTGCGTGTCCACAAACCGCGCGAGTGGCGCGCCGAAATGCGCGGCGGAATTCGCGACGCGAACGAAGACGATCGGTCCGTGCGCGAGAGACTGGGAGCGGGCGAGTCTGAACGCGAGTTAATATGATTGTGAATGAGTCTGCGCGCGCGTGAGTCTGCGTGCGTGAATGTAAAGGCCCATGTCGGCGCGTCCCTCGCAAGGGTCGCGCCCGCTTCCTTCCTGTTCGTTTTCTCCCTCTTTGCCCGCGCGCGCCAATGTCCAATGCTGCGGGCGCGGCGCCGCGCGGAGCCCCCGCGGTGCGCGCCGGTCGCCCCGGCGGGGCCCCGGCGACGCGCGCGGGTCCGCTGCGCGGAACAGAGAGAGCTAGCTGGCTGGCTGATAGCGGGCAAGGCTCTGGCCGCCAGGCGCGCCGACGACGGGGGCGAGCGAGGCGCCGGGCGCAGCGCGGGGTTCCCGCGACGCGCGCCGGTCGCCCCGAGAGGGCCCCGGTGACGCGCGCGTGCGTCGTCCGCGGCGTAAAGCCAGACAGTCAGCCGTCGAGAGACAGCGAGGTTCGGGCGGGCCTCTCCCCAGGTCCGGATAGAAAACTCCGTGAAGTCCAGCTTCCTGGCGAGGGCCGTCGCCTCCCTCCGGCGCCGCTTCGTGCGCGGCGCAAACTGCTCCAGCTGCTCCCGCAAGCCCTCCGGCGGCCCTGCCGGCAAAAACTCGATGCGCGGTGCCCGCATGAGCAGGTCCTCGTGGCGCGTGGCGCGCGAGAGCAGTGCGTATAGCTCCAGCCACCAGTCGTCGTCCTCTTTCTTGCCGTTCCCGCCCTCGTGGCGGCAGCAGTCCAAGATCGCGCCTGGGCGATGTCGGCTGAGAGAGCAGTGCGCCGGACAGCCGACGGCCCAGGACGAGTCCATAAGACTGAGAGACGGTCTGACCGCCATGCGAACCCTGCCGCTGGCGCCTTCGGTGGAGTTCCAATGGGGCCACGATCCTCGGGTCCTCGTGAGGAGGTTCCGAAATCGCCCGAGGCCGCCATGCGAACTCTGCCACTGGCGCCTTCGGTGGAGCTCCCTATGAACCACGATCCTCTTGAGGGGTGTGCCGAAATGGCCCGAGGCCGCCATGCGAACCCTGCTATGGCGCCTTCGGTGGAGCTCCCTACAGGGCCACGAACCTCGTGAGGGGTGTGCCGAAATGGCCCGAGGCTGCCATGCGAACCCTGCCCCTGGCGCTTTCGGTGGAGTTCTCTATGGGGCCACGATCCTCGTGACGGGTGTGCCGAAATGGCCCGAGGGCGCGTGCGAACTCTGCCACTGGCACCTTCGGTGGAGTTCCCTATGGGGCCACGATCCTCATGAGCCCGAAACCGCCATGCGAACCCTGCCACTGGCGCCTTCGGTGGAGCTCTCTATGGGGCTACGATCCTTGTGAGGGGTGTGCCGAAATGGCCCGAGGCCGCCATGCGAAGCCTGCTATGGCGCCTTCGGTGGAGCTCCTTATGGGGCTGCGATCCTCGTGAGGGGTGCGCCGACATGGCCCAAGGCTGCCATGCGAACCCAGACGCTGGCGCCTTAAGTGGAGCTCCCTATGGGGCCACGATCCTGGCGAGGGGTGTGCCGAAATGGCCCGAGACCGCCATGCGTACCCTGCCACTGGGGCCTTCGGTGGAGCTCTCTATGGTGCCACGATTCTGGTGAGGGGTGTGCCGACATGGCCCAAGGCCGCCATGCGAACCCTGACGCTGGCGCCTTCGGTGGAGCTCCCTATGGGGCCACGGTCCTCGCGAAGGGTGTGCCGAAATGGCTCGAGGCCGCCACGCGAACCCTGCCACTGGCGCCTTCGGTGGAGTTCCCGATGGGGCCACGATCCTCGTGAGGGGTGTGCCGAAATGGCCCGAGGCCGCCATGCGAACCCTGCCACTGGCGCCTTCGGTGGAGCTCCCTTTGGGCCACGGTCCTCATGAGGGGTGTGCCGAAATGGCCCGAGGCCGCCATGCGAACCCTGCCACTGGCGCCTTCGGTGGAGTTCCCTATGGGGTCACGATCCTCGGTGCCGAAATGGCCCGAGGCCGCCATGCGAACTCTGCCACTGGCGCCTTCGGTGGAGCTCCCTATGAACCACGATCCTCTTGAGGGGTGTGCCGAAATGGCCCGAGGCCGCCACGCGAACCCTGCTATGGCGCCTTCGGTGGAGCTCCCTACAGGGCCACGAACCTCGTGAGGGGTGTGCCGAAGTGGCCCGAGGCCGCCATGCGAACCCTGCCCCTGGCGCTTTCGGTGGAGCTCCCTATGGGGCCACGATCCTCGTGACGGGTGTGCCGAAATGGCCCGAGGGCGCGTGCGAACTCTGCCACTGGCGCCTTCGGTGGAGCACTCTATGGGGCCACGATCCTCGTGAGGGGTGTGCCGAAATGGCCTGAGGCCTTCGGTGGAGCTCCCTATGGGGCCACGATCCTGGCGAGGGGTGTGCCGAAATGGTCCGAGGCCGCCATGCGAACCCTGCCACTGGCGCCTTCGGTGGAGTTCCCTATGGGGTCACGATCCTCGGTGCCGAAATGGCCCGAGGCCGCCATGCGAACTCTGCCACTGGAGCCTTCGGTGGAGCACTCTATGGGGCCACGATCCTCGTGAGGGGTGTGCCGAAATGGCCCGAGGTCGCCATGCGAACCCTGCCACTGGCGCCTTCGGTGGAGCTCCCTATGGGGCCACGAAACGCTGTGCTGGGTGGGTGAAACGCCTGGAGGCAGGAGGAGGGGGAGGAGGGAGGAGAGGGAGGAGGAGGGAGGAAGGAGGAGGAGAACGCGGGGGCTATCTCTTCAAAACGAGGACCCAACACCACAGGATGGTTGGGTAATGCACACAACATCAATACCAGAGGGCGCTTCTCTCAACATCTCGCTCCGTATGCCTTCCATTTCCATGGCTTTCCCTGTCGAACACAATTAGATATGAGTGTCTTCTGCTGCAGAAGCGGCGTAGCAGCAGCTGGCGGCAATAAACACATTCAATACTCCCCGCTCCCGAATTCAATACACCTATCAAGATCCGCAGCCAGTGATCCAGAACGTCTGCTCCATAGACAACATGAAGATGGGAAGCAGGAAAGCGATGAGGACATAATGCAACACATGGAACACTATCTTACGTACCGACCAACTTGACGCACACTTTAAACACATTGAGCTGGATCGGACAAACGCGAACAAGCAAAGGCTACACCACTCGTCAAAGGAACATCTCAAGGCATGCGCGGCTGGAGGAGGGGATACAGGAGGGACAGGACCAGGGTCAGGACCGTGAGCAGTGGAGGGTCAGGAGCAAGGACGCGATGAGTGATGTGGAGAGAGGGTGCAGAGGAGAGACGTGATAGAGCGACGGGGACGTGCAAGGGAGGACCAGCAAGCACAGGCGAGGAAGGTTGTGGAGCCGCGGGGAAGCAGATGCGATGCCGCTCGCCTGACAGACGTCCTCCAGTTCCATCGTGATGCAGAGCGGGCCTCCGCAGCAAGGGCCCAGGGCGGGGCGGCAGGAGGAGGGCACAGGCAGCGAGCAGGAGGGGCGGCAAGGCGTCCGAAGCGAAGAAAGGGTGCGAGCCAGCACTGGCCGGGAAGGAGGAGGAGGCTGAGGAGGAGGATTCTCCTGGATGCTCTCGATGCGCACCCACGTGCATACACACATATCAGTCGCTCCCGCTCTCCTCCTCACACTGCGTACCCGCACGCGCGCTGGAAGCATCCCTCTCACCCCGAGTCGCCTCTGAAACAGCTGTGAAGGCGATCTGCTCAGCAACACGGGCGAGGGCAGCGGCGGCATCGACAGCACTGGGGGGCGGGCAGTCCTCGGCCAACGTCATCGCGTCGGCAGTCGCGGCAGGATCGCGGTCAGCGGACCGAGCCAGGCACTCATCCACGGGCGAGACAGCCCCAGAGGCCTCCAAGATGGCCGAAGAGGCTCCCAAGATGGCTCCAAGAGCGGGCCCAAACGGGGGACCCAAACGGACATTTCGAGCTCTCGGCCCCAAGAGGCGCCCAGGAAGCCCCCAGATGCCCCCAAGAGGCCCCCAGGACCCCCCCATAGAGGCCTCAAAACTGCTTCCCCAGAGGCTCCCTCTGGAAAGGCCCCGAGAAATATCCATGAGGACTTTGACCCACAACCCATGTACGTCTCGAAACTCTGCTGGAGCTCTCTTGAGCCATCTTAGCGCTCTCTGGGGCAGTCGATCGGCTCTCTTCGACAGGGTGCGAGCCACATCTCCAACTGATCTCCTCGAAGACCGTTCCCTCTGGGCACGAGCACACACCACCACGCAGCCAGTGATGCGACGAAATGGGCAGGCGGAATGAGCGAAACGATTGAATACATGGTACGTTTCACGAATCTTCAAATGCCTAATGGCATCAGGGAGGTTGACGCTGAAGAATCAAGGGCCGTTTCTGCGGTCGACTCCGTTGGGATTTGGGGTTCAAGCTATGGGCGTACAGAATCTTGCTACCAGAGAGAGGTCCCGAAGCCTGCCTACACGATTGCCACCAAGCAATTGCCTCGCGGAACTGCCTCCGAATGCCTCGAAGCGCACGATCGAACTTCTCTCATACAGACCAGCACCCGAAGGCACAGCATGGCCCTAGAATCCATAACATAACGAGCACTGTACACATGCTACGTTTGCGAGTCCATGTCGCAATCACGCCGCAAGCATTTAACAACACCTCATCATGCACATTCGTCTACCAAATAACACGCAAGCCTGCGAGCCCCTCACAGCTTCTGACCGAATCGATGCAAGGCGGCCGCCGTGAATAAATATAGGACAATGTGTCAGGATGGGGCAAGACATGTGATGGTCACGAGACGGGTTGGTTTCTGAGGGGCAGCCTTCATCATCACCAAGACGTGAACTCGCATGCTTCAGGTTCTCGAACTGACCTTCTTCTCATCCCCTTGCAACACAAGTGCAATGGCGATTCCAGTGGCAGCGTATATCATCAGAGAAACTTCTACAGAGAACTGCTTCCGCTGACACCCACTCGTTCTCGTCAACATTCTATTTGGTCTCCACCAGTGGCAGCACCTACGACAATGGCAACAATGGCGACAGCGACACAAACAATTCTCGTTTCCAACGCTGGGCTACATGTTCTTGTTTTGTTTTTCCCCCTGACGGCTGGCTACCTTGGAATCCCTGGCCAAGTTTCGTCCAGGGCAAGCGATTCTCCTCTCATTGAGGGGGGCACTGCCTCCCCAAATCCGTATTACAAATGATTCCCTATCTTATGGCAGACTACGTATACATCGAGATATGAGTACTTCGAGCGAGGACGACGATGTCCGTGCGGTCAGGCGCACAACTCTCCCCCCGCCAACGCGAGCCTCTCCAAGTCGGCTAGATATGACGGACCTGTATTGTCATTCTACCAACACGTCGTGGCTCCCAACCTCGTTTGTCCACGCGGCGATGATTGTCAAACAACGCTGCCGGTCGAAATGGCGCTTTTTTTCGAGCCGGAAGCTCAGCTGCACTACACAGGAGGGTCCCTCTGAGCATCTCGACGTGTCGATCTGTTGATTCATGCTGAGGTGCTGATGCTAAGACATGTCTTGGCCATTCTATCATTGAACCACCTCGGTCCTACTCGACCCCCACGCGCGTGGAGTCCACCCATTCGTTTATTCCTGCTTTTCCTCCTTCCTGGAACGCTTGCCTCATATTGGCCCCGAGCCCTGCCGACCGCATGGCGGAGAGGCACCGCACGCCAGGAAGAGCCCGAAGCGGCCGTTGCGGTGCAGCAGTGGTCCACCGCAGCGCTCACAGGCCAGAGCTGCGATGGAGGGATGCACAGGGAAGGCGCCCAGAGCAAGGGATATTGGCGAGGGGGGATGCGACGAGGTCCAAAAGCTGGTTTCACATTGGCAGAGATGTTCTCTAGCGCAGCCAGACGAGGACATGGCATGGATCAGCGCGCGTTCGCGGATGTTCTGGCCAATCGCTGTCTCTGCCAAGAATGTCTGAGATATCCTCCAGTACGGCCCGGTGACGGTCCCAGAGAGGGCCCCAAGCTTCTCAAGATAACCCCAATAATCCCTGAAGAAACTCCCGGAATGCGACGCAGTGACCGCGAACAGTTGCAGCTTTGCCTCGCAATGCCGCTGCTAGAGGAAGCATGGAGACCCCACCAGGTTCTTCGAGGCGCCGTGGTCCTCAAGAAGGAATCCAGTCGGTGGCCACGCTAGGGGGAGTATCTCACTGCGCCATCATACGCATTTTGCGGACGGTGTCACGCCTCAAGGCGTCCTCGACGAAAACTTGAGCGCGAGAATGCACATGGTGCCAGGCAATATCCTGTGTTGACCACAGTCAACACAGAAGGCGCAAAAGTGGATACTGTCAGATAGTGACTATTACGGTGAGAACGCTGAAGACAGTTGCAAGCTCGACAATCTCAAGCAGATTGCGCGATCGACTTGCCGATCACGCGGCCATGTTGAGAGGAGAGAAGATCTCGCGATGATCCATGGCGAGACAGACATGCAGAACCATCACGATTGGGACCACACGGTCGAGAGGTACTGGGACGGTGACTTGTGCAATCAGGAAGGCCAATCCGCCTCGCCCACCTGCTACTCTACGGCTTCCCAATGTCAAGCTCAACTCCAACTGATGTCTATTTGCTGCGAAATGCTGCTACGGTGTGCAAGAGCATCAAGATGCAATCCTCCGTCCTCCAAGGCCCACAGCAGCCGGCGCAGATCTCGCTCGCCCACCACTGCCGCGCGCGAAGTGCGTGCAACCTCTCGTACTCACTCGACGCAGCGCAGAGATCAGAGAAGGAGGGCGGGATGACAAGTAGGAGGGGTGGTGATGAGGACATGGAGAGGGAGGAGGAGGTGGAGGAGAAGGAGGACGATGAGGTGCAGGCGCAGGAGAGGGAAGCGAGCCTCAAGTCTTCCAGGAGGAGGATGGAGGGAGTGAGCATGAGTAGAACGAGAACGAGGCGGAGAGTAGCAAGGAGGGAAAACGAGCAGAGGTAGTGCGGGCAGAGTAGGGTCACCTGAAGGCGGAGGGACAAGGAGAGAAATAGGGGCACCACGGTGGGACATGGATAATGGGAAGGCGGGAAGGGTTGGAGACGCGAGGGCAATAAGAAAGAACCTGGCCCGGAAACACTTAACTCCAACACATGACATCTCTTGCTTACCTTTTACTTCCGCCAGTGAAGCCACTCTCGTTTTACCTGCGCTGGCCTTCCGCGGAGGAAAAGAAGGCAGCTTCTCGACCCCACGACGGCGGGGCCATTCCTGGGACGCCCTAGATTGGGAAGCATGGGTGGATCTTTTCGGCGCCCCTTCCTGGCCAAGCCATCCTGGACCCAGGGTTGGTGTATGTGGCCTCCTTCCTTGGCCAGGAGAGCGTACGACACACCTACTGGGTCCAGGGCGGGGCCCGGTCACTGGCCAAGATCGTGAGGGGGAAACGAAAGCGAGGGACTCGCTCAGTGGGGAAACATCGACTTGGAATCGGCGATGCATCGCCGATAGATCGGCGACAGGCCCCGATAGCGAAACCGCACGTTCCTGTGCTGGGTGTGGGACCCAGGCCCCGGTTGGCGATGAATGGGCAACTGGGGGTCGATGCTTCTTCCCCCACTGGGATAGTCCCTCCCTGTCGCCACCCCTGACACCGGTGAAGGTGTAGAGCTGGCGCCCTTCTGTAGGTGCGAGGGCAAAAAGAAATGGGAAACGGAGAGGGAGAATAGGTTCTCCACAGCGCGCCGGCCCTGGGGGACTCAACTAACCCACGATGTAGCCTCGCGTGCTACGCGAGCCGGGTCAAAATGTTAAGTACCACTTCGTTGTATGGCCCGCGCGTGCAATTCTAAAACGCATGTTGTATCAGGAAGATGGAAGCATAGTTACATGGCTGGATGCGCATGTGGAATGTGCGGAAGCCGCGGGCTGGATATTCACGTGCGGAGGCCGTGTGCCCGGCCACACGACAGCCTCACACTGGAAACCAATCTGGCTAATTGCATGCATCTCCTTCTCTCGTCCTGGCCAACCGCGTCATGTGGCCCGGTTTAGATGAACATCCGCAAACCCTTCGGCGTTTGTGAGACGCTGTCGTCGTCGTCGTCGTCGTCGTCGCCAGGTCCATGGAACTTGAAGAGCAAGGAAAAGGAAGGTCGCAACTGAGCCGATCCCCTCCCCTGTTCCCTTCCCTAACTGGGAGTGGGGAGATGTGAGGGAGTGCTGGGTCAGAATGCCGCCTCCCCTGGGGTCCCGGCGGGTCCCGGGTGCGGTCGCCAGAGGGGGTCCCTGTGGTGTGGGGGCGGGGGGTAGTCTCGGGTCAAAACAACGGCCTCCTCCCCGGGGAGCCAGCGGGTCCAAGGAGGGGATCGCCGATGGGGGTCCCGCCTGTGGTGGGGGGGGGTTGCCGCTCCCCCGTCCTGGGTCCCCGCGGCGGGTCCCGGGGCAGGTACGGGTTCAGGATCGGCGGCACCGGCCATACTGCCTTCGAAATTGCTCTGGACTCTGGACGGGCCCTGGAGGGAGGAAATGTCAGCCTCAAGCTGGGTTCGCTCCACAACCCCACCTAGGGCTGAACTCCCTTCTCATTACGTGTGTAGGAATCGTGCTACCACAAAGAACGCGGGGTAAGGAACGAAGGGACTTTTCTGGCCACAGCGAGCCTCAGTCAGGAACAGGTTCCCCGCCCTAGATCTAAGGAGCAGCCCGAAAGCCAGAGCCCCTCAGGAGCCCAAAGTGGTCCGTACAGTGCAGGCGCGGCCGCAAGAGAAACATCGCAAGAACCCCCATCCTGAAAGTCCGCGCGCGATGTGCAATTGGGGGAACCCCCCAGGTCACTCTGAATGCAGCAGCTTCCTCACGCTCGCTGGACGTCGCCGCGCAGCCAGTCCAGCGAAGTTACTCGAAGTACCCAAACGAAACACAGTTTGTTTATAGTGTGAACCACAAATCACACACTGTTTTTTAACCAATACATGCGAATAACCTTCACCCGGCGCCTCTGTGCAATGCCACTCATGTCGAAGAACCTGGAGGACCCCCTGCGTTCTGGCAAACAAGCAACACTTCCGTGTTCTCAGCCGCCCCGATACGCAACACGTAACCAGTAGTATTCAGCTCAACACGTATGCTGAACACGACGGTATGGCGCGATACGTTTGCCTAAACGTGGGCTAGCGGCTAACACGCGCCGAGCCATCAAGCAACGCGTTCAATCCAGACATCTTAAACAACGTTTGCGTTTCAACACGGACGTCCGCTTTTCCATGATACAATGCAGTGATGATGAAGATTGCCACCGCCTCCACTGAGGGAAAAAAGACTCCACCATGCGAAGCATTAGCAATGAAGGAGAAGGGAGAGGAGGAGCAGGGAAGAATACGCGCCAAGCAGCCAGGAGCAACGCAATGGCCATCGCCTCGTCGATCGGGGGTGTACCCTCAAATCTGACGGTGCGAAAACATGCAACACCGCGAAAAATCAAGACCAGGGCCATGGAGACCGGTTTTTCTGCGCCATATCTCGAGCCGAATCGACCTGTGATGGCCCAAAGGCCCGAAACCCGGCGAAAACGCCCGGTGTGAACAAATTGACACGCCCAGATCTAAGGGCATCCCAGCGCCGTGACCGCGCCCTCGACAGCTCCCCGTTTCACTCGGTCACGAGCCCCTGGACCCCGAGGGACCCTGGGCACAGAAATATCCCAGAAAGCGGCGAGCGGAGGCCCAGCCCGCGGTTGTCGTTGTCGTCGTCGCCGCCGCCGCCGCCGAGATCGAGTGCCATGGGCGGACCTTGTCGGCTCCCGAGGCGTCCGCCGCGGCCGGCCTCTTCCGCGCGGCGCGCGCCGCCGCGGGGGCGGCGGCCGCCCCGAAGGCCTGCCGCAGGGCCAACATCTCCTGGCCGGGGGCGCCCGACCCGGGGAATCCAAGGGCCAGAAGCCTGAGGTACTCGAGCGTTGTCATTGGTACCCGGAGGTTTACCAGCCTCGGGATGTGTCTCAGCAGCTGCGCCTTGCCGAGGGCGATCTTGGGGGGGCGCAAATCTCCCCGAACGGCCTCTCGAGACCCGAGTTACGACCAGAATGCCAGACTTCTACGCCTAGCGAGGGAATCACTACGGCAATGTTTTGGCCGTTTCTGACCTCGACAAACTCACACAATACCCCGGGACCTTCGAAAACTGGCTTGGGATGAAGAACCGGCGTCAGCCAGTTCTGTCCACTCGTAGAGGGGCAAAACGTCTCCGTCCGTGGTCGTCTTCGCCTGGCTTTGTTCGCCCAATCGTCTTCGCTTTTGCCTGGTCGTCTTCCCCTTGTCGTTTTTGCCCTGTCGTCTTCGCTCGGTCGTCTTCGTCCGCAGCCATCTTCGCTGGCTGTCAACCCGAACCGCTAGAGTCGGCTTGCCCGAGTCGCGTGCCTCTTGTAACGTTTCTTGTTTGCTTGTTTGCCTGTTACTGTCCTTCTTTCCCGAGCAAGCCGTGGAAACGAGACGCCAGAGGCGGTGGCAGAGCCATCTCGCCCTGGCCCGCTAACGACAACTGCTACAGCACACTTTCGTTGTAGACTTACGGTCGTAGAGCTATGCACTTTTGCCTTCCCTTACCCAGCTCCCTCTTCCACCCCTCGCCTCCCTCCCCCCCCTCCCCGTATGGGCAGATGGCGGGGAGAGGGAAGCTGCGATGCATCTTTGGAGAATCTCGTTAGTCCCATTGCACCGCTATCCGAGTCGAGTCCAAATTGAATCAATCTCAACCGTCGAATCAGCGCCGAATCAATGCGAATCCGTGTCAGTTACAAGAACAGTCCGCAACTTACAAGACGGACGAGGCCCCCCGACGATGCAACGTGATCCCTCTCCCTCCCGCTCCCGCTTTCGTTGCACCCCTTCCTCCTGTTCCGACTCAGGCGCGGGCGAGAGCAGGAGGTGGAGGAGGAGGCGGGCAAAGAGGCCAGACACTGGTATATGAAATTGCGGACCGCAGGGCGGGGACCGCTCCCCAGCACTTGCGGGGTCGCCGGGACTTCGCGGGCACGGCCTCTGCAGGCTGCAGGGTGTCCTGATCGCAAGCTGTGCGCGAGCCGCCGCGCGCAAGCTGCACCCACGCGGTCCTGTGAAGAAGCAGCGGCGGCGCGCGGACGGGCCGGCTTGGGGTGTCAGGGAGGCACGGGGACAGCCAGCCGACAACGAGGAGGGCAGGGCGAGAACGGAGTGGGGCGGAGCGGTGTCAATCCGAGTTGGCAGCGGCGACTGCTTCGTGCCCTCTCGGAGCACGGCCTTCGCCAGCAAGACCCAATATTAATATGTGAATGCCATCAGCATCAGCGTTGAGCCCTCGAACATTACTGTATACTAGCTGTCGAATGATATCGCGACCGCCGTGGAAATCATGCGCACCACAAGCGCAAGCGCCCATATGTAAGATGGGCGCGACTCAAGGGATTTAGCTCCATACCAGGGAAAGCTGTCGGTCTACCAACTATGAGGCAACGTGCGCGGTGCCAAGATATCAACGACATGTGAAGGCCAAGATCTCGCCCGCGTGCAACACCGAAAAAAAGACTGGATTCAACGCGCCCCTCTCGGGTACCTCGAGCCACCTGACGCCTCCACATGACGGCTGCCGCGCATCAGCCGCACCTTCTCGGCAGCACTCCACAGTCGAATGCGAACAACGTGCAAGTGGCGGGAAGACTGCGGGCCCGGATGGATAGCCGTTTTTGCCCTGTGGTGTTGGGAGGGCTGCACGTGGTTCAAGGGTCCTCACAAGCTCTCCTTGTCGTGCTCAATAAAATCGGGTATCGAGAAGAATTGTCGCCCTATCTGCAAGAGCCGTCGCAAGCGCTGCTGCAGTCTACAAAAGGAGCACAATGACTCGGGCTGGGCACTCCAGTGGGCACCTCCTGCAGCCAGAGGTTGGCAAGCGTCAATGACATTCGTTCTGGCGACGCACACGTGTGTCCGGGCATGCGGCGTGCTTTCTGGCGCTCCACCGAACCGCTCTTGGATGCTGAACAGAAGGGGCGCTCGTGAACAGGATGGTGCAAGACAAGCGCAAATTGCCTGCTATTGAGCTCACCATGCAGCAACCGTCTCAGCATCGCAAACTGGTGTTCGCACCGACCCCCCTTCACAAACAAAGCCGCACGGACGAGCAGTACCGCTAGCACAGTTCCTGGTGCGGCGCCGAGAGTACTCTTGCATCTTCTCAGTCGCCATTTCGCTGGTGATCACATGGGAAGCGTGATAGGCAGAAACAGCAGCGACAGTGGTCGAAGGCCCCGCCGCTGGGTGGATGCAGCTGCTCTTGTTTCCCAAGGGGGCCACTTGTTGCACTTCAACGCGCACTATCCTCTCAAGCCGAGTGGCTGCCGCTAGCGGCCAGGCGATGTTGGCAGGAAATTCATCGTTCACCTTTGCTACACTGTGGAACAAATGACTGAATATCTGGGCGCGGCATCAGTCAACCCGCTCCAATCATGTCATTGTTGTGTCTCGCACGATCGAGAGAACGGGCGCATTCATCAAGACAAACATTGACAAATATGACAACATGGGCTGCAAGCGCGTTCCGTGCAAGCAACCTCGTTCCCAGCCTGGTGCGGGCAATGCGCTTGGAAAACATGTCCGTAGACAGAAGTTATCAAACCACACGTCGGGGCAAAGTCCAGACCCCATTAGTTTGTTTGTGGCAAAAACTTGTTCTTGCGGCCACAAGCTTTCAAGGCACACCATTTCAGAGGGGCCAATCATCGGTTCGAAAAACCACGTAACTTTCTGCCGATGAAAGGACTGGACAAGACAAATGAATGTTCACATCGATGATGTGATTAACCTCTACTTTCACTTCCGTGCGCCCTCATCTTGATTCCAGGGGAGAAGGAACCAGAAGATAACACATGCTGCCAGTCACCGAAAAACACCTGCCACGACACAGCGTTCGCTACGAGGAGGGTTCTGGAGCGGTGAAATGTTCGCGGCCACGTGATCGAGAAACTTGATTCAAACTGTCCAGAGAGAAAATAAGAAGATGAAGAAGAAGAAGAAGAAGAAGAAGAAGGAGGATTGGGAGGAGGAGGAAAAGAAAGATCCCCGTCCTCGTGTCCGTAGGGCGACTCGCTGCAGTCTGCCAGGCGTGCAGCGAGCGTGGACTTGCTGCCTGCCACCTGTGGCAATGCACTCGCGCTTCCGCCGCGGCAGGGGCCTGAAGTGGGCGCCCTCCGCCCCTGAGGCTTCAGAAGTTCCGAGGCAAGTTCGACGTAATGAGCCGCTCCCAGGTAACTTCGCCGCAAGAAAACACCTGGTCTGCAGTGAGGGGGAGCCCTAGGCGGCACTTGGGAGGGGGACGTCTGGAAACAGTCCGAACGGGTCTGGGTTGGCGCCTACTCTTCCAAAATTGGCTTGGGCCTGGATCGGGACGGATCTGGAACGCTGGGGGACCCTAGGGAGGCCCGAGGAACGGGATCGACAACGTCGAGGAGCAAGACGTTCGTGTCAACTTTCAAGGATCAGCGTGCGCTTCGCTCCTCCAGAACATAAATATGGGCCTCGAGAGCCCCAATGCATGGCCCCGGGACGCTGGACACGCCAAGGACCAGACGAGATCTTAACCAAATTAATTGCGCACCAGCTTCGGACCGTGGGCTAGCCACCGCACGGAGTATTGATCCTGCAATGATGGAGCGAGCATTCGCACGAAGCGAAAAGAAGGTGGGTGGGTGGACAAGGAGAATGAAGAGGAGTGACGCTGGCCGACGGGGAAGGCAAGGGCACAGCGGCGGGGCTGGCCGCAGGCAGCTGGATGGGCCCCTGGTGCCTCTCCTCCTCCTCCTCCTGCTCCTCCTCCTCCTGCTCATGTTTTGCTCCCTTTCAAACTCTGAATCCTGCCTCAAAATGCGAACGCGCCCATACATGCGCCTACATGTAAGCATGCGGCACGCGCGCACAAGCAACACTACAATCATGGAGCACGACAACCGGGCAACGATGCTGCGAGAATCGTGGTGGCAGAGATTAGCAATTTCCCAGCTAGATCAACTCCATGCTAAGCTTCGCACTTTGTAGATCCTTGTTCAGATAGATCCCGGTTGTTTGTTGTACTGGCATTCGAACCGAGACATTGCGATGTGTATATTTACCCACCATAGGGGATGTCAACACGTATTGTGTTAGCCTAGCTTTAACTCGGCGTTCGAAGGTGCGATACTATACTCCATTTAGCTTGCCTTGCCGTTGGCTTCGCATACAGCAGCATATCGGGCTTTAGCTGCACACGCTCACGCAACACCTGGCTTTGTGGAGCATGTATGTCTGTTCATGGATACTTGTGGCACTGCTGGCGGACCGAAACACGTAGTCACACGCACGAACACGCATATTTCAGTTATGCCGCTTACACGTACGAACACGCACCTTATAGCGAACGTCCCCCATTGAACTTCTGCACTTGTCGTTGACGGTGCGCATACCAACAGACTTGATGCCGACAGAAAAAAGAGGGAGGAGGTTCAGGGTCCATGGAGGCGCGCCCGAATGACGAACACGAGTCACGATGAAAGGGGAGGCGGATCAAGAATATTTGCTTGACTGGCTCCATCTTTCCCCCTTCCGCACACTTATCCGCCCTCCTCCTCATCCTACCGTTGCTCGCCTTTTGGTGCTCCGCGCCCCTCCTCCTCCCTCCTCCTCCCTCCTCCCTCCTGCTGCTGCTCCTCCACCTCCTCCTCCTCCTCCTCCTCCTCCTCCTCCTCCACCTCCTCCTCCCCCCTCCTTGCGCTCCGCCTCCCCCTCCATTCCTTCCCCTGCTGCGGTTGCTCCTGCTACTCCTTTTCCTGCGCCTCCACCCACGCGCGCGCGCGAAAAGGAGGAGGAGGAGGAGGCGGAGGAGGAGGAGGAGGAGGAGGAGGAGGAGGAGGAGGAGGAGGAGGAGGAGACGGAGGAGGAGACGGAGGAGGAGGAGCGCGGGCAACCTGAGGCGAGCGTGTCTCGTAGGCCTCAGGGGGCTCGACCGCCGTGCGCTAAGCGGAAGATTTGACGCGCGCGGAGAGAGCACGGGCAGCAGCCATCAACGCGTTTGGCTGGCTAGGACAGGAGAAGTAGTGGGGGAATGAGTCTGGCTGTTCGCAACAGCCGAATACGCAGCTGCGCGGCGCGAGCACGTGCATGCGGGCGGTAGTCGTCCACACGCCGGCCAGGGTCTTGAGAGTAGCCCATCGCCAGCTGGGGCGAACGCTACGCAAGGAATTGGTGAGCGACTCCCATCGCTCGGGCAATAGTTCGGGTGCAGTATATAATCCCCACGCGGCAATCCGCTTCGCGAGGGTGACCGTGAATGGCGAGGCGACTGCGGACTTGCGGAGGGAGGCCGCCAAGGCTCTCTGCAAGTGGTGGCGGCACGGCGGCTGGGCTTCCAACGCCAAAGCCTTGTCCGCCTGCGCTGCGCGGTGAGCGGCTTGCATCATCGCTGGTGTGAATGGGGTAGTGCTGCACAATGGCGTGCGGTTGCTCGCCGAAGCTGGGAAACCACAGTCCGTCCAACCAGCGATGGAAAGAGTGAGCAGTGCTTTCCTCCCACGCTGTGTCGCGGAGCCGACAGAAATGTGGTTCCCATAGCGCGGCCAAAGTGTGCGATGCAGAGCGAGCGGCAGCGGCGACAGACGTGACCTGAATCGAGCGAAGTACAGGGGGCGGCGACCAATCCGCCATCGCGAGAAGGTCAACCTTGCGGAAAGTATTCGGTGGCATCGCTTCCAGAATGCACATGCTGAAATGAGAGCACGCGCCGCCGCCATTCCCGCCCCGGGGCGCGCCACTGGTCAGCCAAAGAGGCCGACGTGCCAAGGGGGGTCCCGAGGCATTTGGCACGCCCCTCAATCGAAAACGCACGCCAGGAGGGCACGGCCGCGGAATGCAGGTCCTGGGCATGGGCAATGGTGGCAGGCGACGCTGCCGCCCAAAGAGGGACGGCAACACACTTGCGAGGCTTGAGGGAGAGGAGTGCGAGGCTAGCGGCGGCATCGAAGGCCTCAATCACTTTGCCAATCACTCCGATGGATGCGCGCGTGATGCCCAAATCGTCCGCACATGCGCCCGGGTAGTTCTGCGAGGGAGCAACCGCGTCGTCCAGCTCGATGATGGCGGCGATGTGGCGGATCAGAGGGCCCATAGCAATCGCCCAGGCGGGCCCGCTCGCAGGGCAACCCTGGGCAACTCCTGACTCGATCGCGAACGTGGGGCGGCGTGCGCCGTCGACCTTGACCGAGGAGGTGGGCGCGTAATGCATGGCCTCGAACAGGTGCATGAAGGCCGTCGGCAACCCGAAGCTGCGCGGCGCTTTGAAGAGCCGCGTTCTGCCGAGAGACGGGAACGCCGCGGCGAAGTCGAAGCTGCTGAAGATGGGGTGGCGCTCCGAGGCAGTCTCCAAGAGGCCAGCGCGACGCATTTCAGCGTCCAGACGCACGATGTGCTGCGTTAAATTCCTGCCCGTAACGAAACCCTGCTGCGCCTTGTGGATCTGCTCGGCAACGAACGGCTGGATGAAATGGTTGACGTCCGTGTTCTCCAGCGAGAGAGGGCGAGTGTCTTCGGGTGGGCGGTCAGTCGTGAGCTCGCCCAAGAGATCGTCACCCTTCGGGGGAAACGCGAAGTCTGAGTCGTTCAAGTCACGGGGGATCGGATGCCCAGCGCAGAGGTGGAGGGCCAGGAGGAGCCAGCGAATACAGTCATCGTGATGCCACGAGGAAAGCCGGGTAAAGAACGCGAGGGATTTTTCTGGCCACGGCGAGCCTCGGCCACGAAATGGTTCAACCCGACGTGTATCTGAGAAGCGCTCCGAAAACGAGGGAACCCCTCCTTATTTCAGCGTCTTGTCTACATGAAAGCCCGCAGCCCGCAGGCGAACAACGGCGGCGCGGGCACGGGACGTGCGTCAGAAGAGGGGCTTGTTGATGTCGCCGCCGAGTGTGAAAGCAGGAATCCACCAGGCGTCGAAGTAGCGCTGGCGAAGTTGGTCGGAGGCGTGCTCGCCACGCTCGAAGAGGAGAGACGAGGAGGGGAAAGGGGAGGATGTGAACTAAAGGACGGGACGTGACGGGACGGCGAGCGAGTATGCCTCCTGCCCGGAGAGGACATGGCGAGGAGGAGGATGCGGAGGGGGAGGAAGAGGAGGAGGAGGAGAAGGAAGAGAAGGAGGAGAAGGGGAAAGAGGAGGAACAGGAAATGGGAGGGGGGGGGGCAAGTATGAGCAGGATGAGGCTGGAGGTGGCATTCCGCAGGTGCGTTGCTTGTGCTGCCTCCCCCCCTCGAGGTGGGCACGAAACCTGGAGGCCGGCGCCCCTGCACAGCCGCCTGAGCTGCACGACCCGCAGCTGCTGAAAGTCCTCACGGGTGGCCGCCTGGAGGGTTCACAACTCGGATGCCTCCCAGACGGGACCATGAGAGCGGGGATCGGAAGATCTCGCCGCATCGCGGATGCGCCGCCGATACATCGGCGACGTCGAAGCGGAGGATCTCGGACTCTGGATCGTGCCGCGTCGTCGATGCGGCGCTATCCTCCAATCCCATCTGCCCTGGTCCCAGGCCTGGAGTCGGCGCGGGCGCTGGGACCAGAACACCCCTGGGCGAGGCTACGTATGGGAGAGCGGCGCCAGCTCTGTCAGAGCGTCTTGTCTTGGAGGACCCGTGCCTCTCGACGAAAGGCGGGCTTACATCGACCACAATTTTTGATCCCTTGCATGCGGTCCAAAAATAAGAATTAAGATGCGACGGCACACTGGAAGGGACAGATTTCCCGGGGCTCCGATCAGAGCGTTGACGCTTCATCAGCATGGGATGTCTTCCCAGAGCTCTGGCGATAGATCCCATGGTCTGCTGGAGTGACGAATCCGTTCACGAAGCCCTCTCTGAACGGAATTCCATATCGCACAACAAGAATTACGAAGAACTGTTCTCCAATCATACTGTTTTTCACGCCTTGTGTCTCCTTCGTCCCCCTGCCAACTCGATGAGACCAATCATTGCTCAACAACTCTGCCCCATGCCGGCTAGACCAATTATCCTGTCCCTCTCTGGCCTCCCCCCTTGCGCGGTACATGTCGTGTGCCCGCTGCGCCTCCTACTCCCAGGGCTGTTCAAGCCATCTCCCTGCTAACATCGGTTCGAGCCCTACAATGAAAACGTATAGTAAGAACCCGTGGTAAGGACGCAAGACCCTTGGAGGCCGAAGTTGAAGTATTCTGGCCTGCGAAAGCTGCTAGGGACGGACCGCGGAGGCTGAGGCAGGCAAGGGCCCTAGGTTACCCTTGAAAAAATCGTTTGTCCTTACTATGCGCATTGACTGTACCGTTTTGATTAATACATACTTTCTTCTTTCTTGGAGCTAGTCAGATATTTCGCTCTCTCTCTATATATATATGCACCGATGTCTATATACATGTATGTACATATGCAAATACACGCACACACATATATGTATATATATATATATATATATATATATACATAGCTCGCCTACCTTACCTTCCCGCCAGGCTGATTTTGTGTGAAGGGCTGACCAGGCCGGTAGCTTCGAATGACGATGCCGAGGGGCGCCAAGCCGAGAGCACAAACCCTGCAAAAAAGAAAAGCGTTTACTACAGCTTGCTGAGCAGTTTGAAGGAGGGAATGAGAAAGGAGGACACAGCACATACACACACCCACAGACGCACGTTAGAGAGGGCGGGAGGGAGGGAAGACTTGAGCGTGGCAGTTGCGGCGGGATCCAGGATGGGCTATGCCTGAACATGTGAAATGTGACAGCTCGCCTACCTTACCTTCCCGCCAGGGTCATTTTGTGTGAAGGGCTGACCAGGCCGGTAGCTTCGAATGACGATGCCGAGGGGCGCCAAGCCGAGAGCACACACCCATGCCCGAATGGTGACCTGGCCGATCCGCAACGCAAAGATCAAAAGGCCGACCTCGAACCACAGCCACATCGATAACATACTTAGCAAACCTCCGGGCACGTTTGTCTTCGAACGATCGCTGCATCACACGACTGAACTTCCGAGCGAAGGCCTTGGGGTACTCCGCAGCAAGACGAGTAAAGTGAGGGCCCTGAGGAGCGTGGCCGGATAAGATTCCATGAGGCTTTTGTGTCTTAGAACAGATACCAGATCGACCCGATCAGAGGAGACCGAGGTTCAGCAGCGGGAGCGAGTGCCACGTGGCAACGCTGGTCGCCTTATGCCGCGGCGCCCCGTACTGGCACATGTGAAGCTGAACCTTCTGGGCAGAGGCGGCCCGCAGAAGCCGGGCCAGCTCGGGGGCGTGCCGCGTCAGAGAGCCCGCTGGATTCTCGAGGTTGGTGGCCACTTTGCACTTCGGGGCCAAGCGGATGACCTTGCAAGTGAATTTGAAGGTCGCACTTCCGACTTCCAGCCGCGCCCGCTCGCTTGGGGAAAGACCTGGCAGCCCCGTGGGATGCCGTCGGGGGCGCAGTGGCCGCCGAAGGGCTTGGCTCCAGGTCGTGCGCGGCGTTCCAAGCCAGATGCCGGCGATGCAGCCGGAGGTGACCCAGCCGCTGAGAACCTCAAAAAACTCATGCGCCAAGTGATTCTCGTGGGCGCCGCGGCTGATGTCGAAGCCCACGGCCGCGATGCCATCTGCCTTCAGCGCGGCGGTGATGCAACCTTTCCCACAGAAGAGCTCGACGAATGCACATCGTCTGCGTAGCCGGCCCTCGCCTATCGCTCGACGGAGGGCGGCCGGCGCGTGCGCCCGCGCGGCGCCGGGGGCCGCGATCAGCGGCGGCGCCGCTTCTGACCGCGGCCGGCCGCCGCTGCCGCTCGGCTGGGCCGGGCCCCCACCAGGCTGGCCGGAGCGGCGGGCGCCTGGGGTCGCAGCGGGCGCGGGCCGCAGGCCAGGGCACCCTCGATCACGATCCTGAAGTTCGCCTCGACCAGTCTGCCGAACGACAGTGTGGCGGCAGGCGCCCAGTGGAGCTCGGCGAGCAGCTTCGACTCCTTCGCGTACCGTTTCATGCTGCTACTGTGGCCCCACCTGCCCATGCGCTGCGCCTGCTCCGGCGTGCGGGTGCCCCGTGTGATGTCCTCCGAGGCCCCCCCGTGGCGCGGAGAGTTCAGGTGGGGGCGGAGGCGGCCGAGCAACAGGTGCTTGGCTGCCTCGCCGAAGGCCCTCTTGTACTCGCCGAGGTCGTAGTCTCAGAGGGGGGCCTCCGCGGGCGTCGCTAGCTTCAGAGCCTCCAAGACCGACCGCAGCCAGCTCGCATTGTCGATGATGACCGACTCTTCGAAGAGGCCGACCTTGCTCGGGATCCGATCGACCACGTCGTCCAGCACGAGCGCCCACTCGTCGTGGGCCGAGCCCGCGGCAGCCGCTGGCCGGACCAGGCTGCGGCCCCTCAGCCGCGGCGCCTCGCCCAGACGAGTGTAGCACAGGAAACTGATCACCGCGCAGATGGCCATCCGCGTCAGGCCCCAGCTGGCCAAGAGGCCAGCGATCGCAAAGCAGGCGCTCCTCGGCAGCGGCAGCCGCGTGCCCGCAGGGGCCCGGCGGGCCCGCGCGATTGCGCACCGCTTGGCTCGAGGCAGCGCCCGCGGCACGGCATTGTAGAGGACGGGCGTCACGTGGCTGAGGGCCGCCAGGAGCTGTGACCCTGTGTTGCCGTTCTCGCCCAGGAGGTGCAGCTGGTCGAAGTACTCCACCAACAGTGCGTCGAGCTCCGTCATCGAGCCCCAGTCCCTGCGGCGGGCCGAGCAGATGGCCGCGAAGGCCTCGAGGGCCATCTGGTAGTTCCTGGCCGTCGAGGGGAGGGTCGCCGCACTCTCCAGCGTCGACGGCCCGCTGAAGCGCAGCGCGGCCTTGGCCAACTGGGCGGCCGCCACGGCCCGCTCGCGCTTCAGAGCCGACGCGGCCGGCGCCCGGGGCGCCCGGGCCCCCGGCGCGGCCGGCGCCCGCCGCCGGCGGCAGCAGCAGCAGCAGCAGCGCCCGCATGGCCGTCGTGCGGGTCGTGCTGGCCGTAGACGCGCGCTCCTGAGAACCAACCGACCTCGCCTCTGGAGACCGGGTCGGCCGGGCTGAGCATCCGAGGGCACCCGCCTGACGGCGAGCCTCGAGCCCGTAGCTAGCGACAGAGCGCATATGCGGTACAGACACTGGCGAAGGCGAATGGACTTGACACGCCCCTTATATTTGCTGCCAACGCGAGGGGAAGGTTGTCGGGGGGGATCAGGATTCGCCGACCTTGGGCCTTGCAGCTCCTCAGAACGTTCTTGAAGCCCATGGCCAGGGCCTCGCCCTCCAGAAACAACATGTTGGGCCCCATCTCGACGTGCGTGGCCGACGCGCAGCTCCAGCACCCCGGGCGCAGAAGTCGCCTGGGTATCTCCAAGAACTCCCTGCTGCCACGAGGTTCGAGTCGGGCACCTCCCTCCTCCCGCTCCGAGATCATCGCAGCCTCCTCGTCCGTCCCCACCTCCTCCAAGGCCCGCTGGCGGGCCCGAGCTCCACCCTCGATCTTGAAACGGAACCTCTCCTTCTGGCGGCCAAACTCCTGGACCTGGGCCGGGCTCAGCTTGCGGCGGACGACCCCCGACCCGAACGGCGACGCGTCTGCGCAAGCCACGTGGGGGTGCCAATCAGCTTGGAGGTCCACACATATAATAGAGGTAGCAGGTTGCGGACGCTTTCGAGCTCTTGCCTAACCGACTCCCGCAGACGAAACCGCGAAGGACCTGCAGCTTCTATTGGCGCGTAAGTGGCATGCAATAGCGACAGACACTCCCGACGAACCAAGCTACTCCAGGTAATGTGCCCAACGATGACGCGCAAGAGGTGCCCACTCACCCTTGATCTGGCCAGGAGCCAATCCAGGGCATGCCGGAGCCTCCAGAGGTTGCGTTCCTTCACCGAGAGGAATCGCCCGGCTCTGAGAGGCGCCCCCAAGAACTCGCGGTCCCTGCTGGCCCCCTCAAGCTCGTGAACGACAAAGGCCCAGGCCCCGCAGCTGCTTGGCGACGACGTCGAGACGGCTGGCCGCGGCCCCCGGGCCCGACCCCAAAGCGAGGGAGTTGCCCGCGTAGGCGGCCGACGCGGTGTCCCCAGGAAGCCTAAGCACCGCCCCGGGTCTGCCGCCCAGGACCTGCTCGCCCTTCCTGAAGCCCCCCTTGTCCAGGGCCCCTTCCAGAACGTTTTGGCGAAGATGGAGCGCCCGCGCGAAGCCCGTCGGCAGCGCCCGCGCGCTCGGTGACATGTTTGCGCCAGCCCCGTCACGAACTCCAGGAATATGAAACTTCTCTAAGTGCAGATGCTCCATGCCTTCAGGTAGCTGCATATGATACAAAAGCCACATCCAGATCCCCGCTCGCAACATACAAAGGGCCCCCTTCGGCTTCCAGGGAGGCGAAGGCAGAATGGGGGGGGGGGGGGGGCGAGTCGAAGGGGGATCGATGAACCTGCAGTTCGCAACTCTGGCATCGACGATGATGCGTCCCCCGAGAAGACATATCAAACAACAAATCAGCATACCGCCACGGCGAATTCTTGAGGGCGGGATCCACATGAGGCCCCCGCGGACAAACTTCTTCTTGCAGGGCCCGAGCCTCCGACTCCGGGCGAAGCATTTGGCGCTGCCAGGCTTCCAGCTGTTCCAAAACAGGACCAGACGCAAGCGACTCGAGAGGAACCGGGTCGACCTGCCCGGAGGGCCGCGAGACCAGGTCTCGCTGGAGGCCACCGCCCCCCCGTCTGAAAAGTGCAGGGCGGAGCCGTCAAGGGGCGCCGAGAGGGCCACCTTGGAAAAATAATGCTGCTCGGAGGGGCCCGCAGGTGGAGGCCCGACCGCGCGGCAAGTAGCAATGCTATTATCTACGGCGGCGCGCTGCCCGGCATTCGAGAAATCGCTGCCGTGGGAGGTGCAGCCGTAGGTCTTATTGAGGGCGTTAATGGCATCGCGAGCAAGGTGCTAATCATGCTCACCGCGGAGAACCCGACGACGGACAGCACGCGACGCAGAGCTCGGAACGAGTGGGGCAGCGATGGGGGGCAGGAACAGGTAGAGGGAAGATGTCGCGATGCCGACCGTCAGGAAGCCCCCGACGATGCATGCCGCCGCCGACCTTCAGAAGGCCGGGTAGGCCCTGCAGCCCTTCAAGGCTATCACGGGTGAAGGCCGGGTCCCGGGCCTCCGCCTGGCGTGCACTCACCCCTCTTCCCTTTTGCCTCTATTGCCCTTCTTGTTCTTGTCCATGCCGTTGTTGCCCGAGCCGCCCGCCGAGAGCTGCCGCTCTTCGCGGGCCTTCCAGAGCCCCTTCTGCGCCGCCACCTCGCGGGCCAGCTCCGCCGACACGTGCTGCTGCAAGGCGGGGGCCGCGCATGCGTCGCCTCGCGCCTCGGCCGTGCCCGTCATCAGGTCGCAGTTGATGTTCTCGGGTTCGGCGGAGGTGCCGCGAGCGCGATAGCGCTCCTCCTGCGCCTGGGGCGTCCTCGCGATGAGCTCGGCGCTCGCCAGGTCGCCAGCATTGAGCTCATCGTGCGAGATCATGGTCTCCAGCAGCCGGCTGCGCAGCAGGTGCACCTCGACCCCAGCGTCATCTGGATCGAGCCCCATCTCGCTCCGCCAGCGAGAGTGGCGCGCGAGCGGGGAGCCACCGTGGCGCTGGATGCACCGCAGCACCCAGTGAGTCGTCCGAGGCCCGCGGGCGGGGAACGCGGCCCACGCGTGCTCGGACTGAGCCAGCACGCCCTCGCGGAAGTCCAGGAACCGCTGGCCGCGCCCGTCGTGGGTGGCCGCCAGCGCGCGCAGGTCGGGCGCGTTGAGGGCGGCGGGCCCCGCTCCCGCCGCGGCCGGTGCCGCCGGTGCTGGCGCCGCGGCGGCTCCGGCGACGGCGGGCGCCGTTCCTGCTGCGGGCGTCGCTGCGGGCGGCGCGGCAGCGGGAGCAGCCAAGGCCCCCGCGGCCACAGGCGCGCCAGCCGCTGCTGCTGCTCCTGCTCCGCCGGCGGGGCCGCCGAGGGCCGCCGCGAGGCCGGCCAAGACCCCCCCGGCTGGGCCGGCAGCGCCCAAGGCCCCCGCGACCGGCGCCGCCACCAGCGCGCCCGCAGCCGCTGGCGCGCCCGGCGCGCCTGCGGCGGCCGCCGATGCCGCGCCGCCCGGCGCCGCGAGCTCCGCGGGGCTGGCCAGCGGGTGCTGTCCAGCGGCCACACCGAGGATGTTGCCGCCAGCCAGGTCCAGAAGCAGCGGACCCTCAGGCGGAGGAGGGAATCCCGCTGCGACTGACCGCGCCGCCGCGCCCCAGGCCTCTCCCGCCGTCGGGAGGCGCCTGAAGCGGTAGACGTGCCCGCCCGCGAGGGCCGGCGGGTTGCCTCCCTGCCCGGCCAGGCGGATCGTAGTCGTCGAAGTCCGGCGTCAGGATGTAGCTGAAGGGCCCCGCGCTCGCCGATCGTGAGCCGCTCGTGCCAGAGCAAGTGCCCTGGCACTCTATGCCGCGCGCAGTAGAAAGAGCCCGCCATCAATGGTCAGCCCGATCGCCGAAGGCCTGGCACCTGCTGCGCTCCCGGCCGGCCCTCGCCTGCTCCGCCGCGAGCTTGGCGAAGTCTGGCGCCCGTGACCCCTCCAGCCCCGGCGGGGCGCCCGGAGACTGCTCCGAGCGCCGCCAGGGCAGGCAGGCCTGCAGCGCGCACCCCGACAGCCGCAGCGCCGCCTTCAACGCCTCCAGCAGCAGGTAAGCGACGCCCCCGACGCCCAACTGGAAGGCCCAGCTCGTTTCGCCTGCCTCGCAGGCCGGGCAAGGGGTACACAGGTCTGGGCAGCTGCTCGAGGGCGCCTTGGCCTCCAGCGCCGCGGACAGGCACTCCGCCAAGGGCACCTGGGTGACCTCGTCCACGTCCTCGTCCAAGGGCGGCCCGCGGGTAGGCCCTGGACGCGGCCCCGCTTGGGGCGGAGGCTGGAGCGCGACAGCCGGCGACCACCACCAGCGCGCAGCGCTCAGAGCCCCGAGATGACAGAAGAGATGCAGGCCGAGTCCCTGCGGGCGCATAGAATCGGGCACGCGCTCCCCTGAAAGACTTGAGCGTGGCAGTTACGGCGGGATCCAGGGAGGGCTATGTCAAAACATGTGAAATGTGACATGTATATACACATACAGGGCTGCATTGGCGCTTTGCGCCATGCACGCTGGTCATTGAAGTTTGGGGTGCAGGCAGAAAGGCAAGAAGGTAAAGCAGACAACTTAGCGATAACTCCTTGTTGTCTTGTCCAACATCGCCATTATCATAATGTGTTTTATCATGATGCCATCATGTTTCCTCTTCCTCTTCCTCATTTTCGCCCTACCTTGCGAATTATTCCCCATCCTCCTCAGCTCTTTTTGCGGAGGCTCCTCCTTGGAGAGCCTCTTGGGGGCCTAACAACAATTTTGTAAGTGCTCCTTGGGGCCGTCTGGAGGCTTCCTGGGCGCCTTGTGGGGGTCTCTGGGGGCTTCCTCAAGCTACCCTGCTTTCAACCGCGGTCTCCCTGAACAGCCGGGTCACGATTTGGGATGCGTCGGGGGGCACATTGGGGCCGTCTTGGGCCGTCATGGTGCTCTCTTCGGGCCATCTTGTAACCCTGTTGTGCCGTCTGGGGGCTCTCTTGGACTGCCTGGAAGCCCGTTCGGATAGTTTTGGGGTGATCTTCGGGCCTCCTGAGCGGTCTCGGACGCCCAGAAGACGGAAGCACAGGGCATTTCCCAAGTCACGCAAACACCTTGGAAAGTCAATGTTTTTCTGCGTTTCGAAAGCCTCTCGGGTTTTATTGGGGGGTCGTCTTCGGGCGTCTGGTGGGTGTCTGGGGCCTCTTGGGGCCTTCTGGGGGCCTTTCGGCCGCCCTCCTGACCGATTTGGGCCCGTTGCCCAGGTTCGGCAGGGACGTCCAGGAGCTCTGGAAAGCCTGGGGGGCCTCCTGCAAGGACGCCCCCGGGGCCACGGATTCTGGGGGTCTGGTTCTAGGGGCGGGTGACGGTTTTTCCCGCCCCCCCAGCTGGTGAAAATATAAGAAGAATAATATACCATGTACATGTAGATAACTTTCATATAGCTCGCAGATTCACATACTAACGACAATGCTGCTTGGGAGCAACCTGGAATGCTTGGGGAAAAACTTACCTGAGTTAGTCTGAAGACAAGACTTGTCGGACTTCTGCTGAAGTTTATCATTCATTGAATCCTCCCACCCCCCCTCCTCCTCTGCACATTGTCTCGTGGCACCTCTTTGGAGCGCTTTCCCTGGCCATCGGCCATAGCAACAGCTCGTCCCAACTACACGCAAATAAATTTGAGCCAAGCTGGTGGACTACTGCGGGCCATCTCTCCTCGCGTACACCTAGCCGAATGCTCTTCCACTGCTCCAGCCCCCGACGTTTAGATCGATGAGCAAGCTATGTAGAGTACAATTCGTGATGCAAGCTTTGTGGTGCAATCCCTGTGGTGCAAAACGTGTGGTGCAATCTATGCGTTGCAAGCTATGTGGTGCAATCCTCGTGACGCAAACTGTGTGATGCAGCCTGTGTGGTGCAAGCCACGTGGTGCGGGCCATGTGGTGCACTCAGCGCACGGAAGCGGCCATGATGTGCCCACAGGCGGGCACCAAGCGAAACCCCGACACACCCATTCAGTGCACGGGGCGCCCACGAGGCGCCCACTGGCGGCCATCGACTGGGCACCAGGTAAAACCCCGACACACTCATCCAATGACGTAAGATCGCAAGTATTGGCCCCTGAGTGCAAACACTGTATGGGAAACAATGCTTGCACATCAACCCTTCTTGAGCATGTGTCGAATTCGCTACTCTATGTGCTACATCTTTTATCAACCGGATATCACCCACGATTCCTTTCTTGCGACATCCTTACGCCTGCCTCGTCGGAACATCGCAATTCAACGCTACTATGACAACAAGCCTGAGAGCAACGCACCCTGCCTCAATGAAGCAAACGAGCGATCTCACTTTGATTGTGATGCACAACGTTGGCCGGTTACTCTGTTTATCAGAGTTGGCTGTACGCGCGTATGCGTGCGTGCATGAGAAAAGGCACCGCGCATGGAAGTAAACGTCGCTTTGCGAACACGTGTCGCGGAAACGAGTGGGCGCTGGCGTGTGCACTACATTGGCACCGTTAGCCTATACTGACATATTGTTTGGTGCGAATAGGAAACCAAACACAATTATGGTGAACCGTGGGCATGCGCAATATTCTGACTGCAGAGAAACGTCGTCAAAAAAGACACGCGTGACGGCGAGTGGTCCAATTCACATATACCGGACATTGCTGACCAGACCAACGTTCACTAGCGGACGGTTGCCACGGGCCGTCTACTACAGAGGGTCAAAAGGCAACTTATCGTTGACCAAACCGCTCCTGTACCAATCTGTGGACATCAACACCACCCTCAAATACCATAGTGGAGTAGGACCTCGTTGCGCATGCGCGCCAACACTCTCCCAGGCAGTCGTTTGCCAGCCTGGCCCACTCAGGCCGTCATTGCGGCTGCTGCCCCTGCGGTGCTAGAGTGGCGAGCGAGGACAAGAGCTTGGAACGGGCAAGAGGGAGGGGGGTGGCGAGCAGAGCTGGAGAGTCTGGTGGATCGAAGCCGAGATGCCACAGCTGAGGAGCGACAGAAGCAGCACGCAGACTCTTCCTGTACCAGGAAGCTGGAAACACACCTGGCTGGATTCACATGTAGAGCTTCTGGAGGCCGCGGGCTAGACACATATGGTGGCTGGCGTACCCAGTCACGCATGGGCCAGTCGCCGGAAAAACATGCGGCCACATGTGCATCCAACTGTCGCGGACCGGGGAGAAAACTGCGGGGGGCAAGCCACGAACAACACATTGTTGTGGTGCAGTGCCCTTCGACACTCCAGCCCATCCGCTCAGAGGCCTGTGGCTCTCCAACAAACGCGATGCTGCCGAACGGCTCGGCAAGATGAGTGCAGCAACCCTCGCGCTGGTTGCCACTGCTGCATAAGTAACGGAAGCAAGCAGGGGCTCGAAAAGGAACGGACGGCGGCAATCGGCGCAACCAACGACCAAAGCTGGCGGGGCAAGGCAAACGATCCGCCACCGTGTCCCCCTGCTCGCTGGGGCGGCCTGGAATGCCAAAGGGGCTGTCTGGGAAGTGAGGTTTCTGCCGCTTTCCGCGGGAGAGGCTCCCCCCCCCTACTCGCGTCACGCTTCCAAAGCACAACCCGTGACATTCTCGCGTCCGCCGCCATTTCTCAGTCAGCGGCAATGGGGGTCACCACTGGGAGGGGGTCGCCACCCCCTCCAGGAACCGGGCCGCCTTGTGACTAGTGGTGGCCCCCCTTGGCATTGCCAGACGGCTGGCGGGTTCCCGAAACCCCGCATCCCTCCGAAAATACATCTCTTGGGGACGTACCCTGTACCTCTGCCAACTTGCGCGGGTCTTTCGCTGGCGGAGCCGCCTCCGCTTTTACTTCCGCCGGCTTCCGCTGAGGAAGAGATATTAACTGCTTGGTTTCTCTAAGGCGAGGCTCTTTCTGGATCGCCCCACCTGGAGGCGGCGCTGGCGCGGTGGCAGATCTTGGGTTTGCCTAGAAGGAGAACGAACAAGACAACCGACAACTTTTTATAATGTCCGCGCAGATTTCTTGGAGCGGCGCTGGGTTTTCCTCCCTGGCGAGCGGAGCGCGCCAGGGGCGGCGCCAGAGGTGCTGCCAAGTGGAAGCAACGCACATCCGAGTCATCCGCGCGGACCTTCGAAAAGTCATGTTTTTTTAGGTTTTTCTTTTCCGATCGCAGCTGGATCATTGGGGGTGGAGGCGGCAACGAGGGTAAGCGTCGACCAGGGCTGGCCAGGCTGGGCAGAGCCTGGTTCGGGCTAGAGGCGGTACCGCGGGCTGGCGATGACCACGGGCATCTAGGCCACACAACGGCTGGGACGGGCTCGAGGCGACAACCAGTCGGCGAAAACAACTACCAGCGGGCCAGTTACGCAGGGGCTAATAGGAGCCAGAGGTGGCTATCATTGCTCCCACGAGACAGATCGATGTAACGACAGGCGGGGCAGCAGACCTGGGCTATTGGGGTCCAGAAGTGACAACCGAAGTCGGTGGCAACCACGGCCAAAGGCTAGAACGAACATCAAACGTTTCCGAGAGACGCGCAAGCGTGCAGACAGGGGATCGCCGGGGATAGATGCGGCAACCGGAGTCGGTGACATCCACGGCCCAAGGGCCCAAACAAGGGCTAACATCAAATAGTGCTCGAGGCGGCTACCAATGCTCGCGCCAACCACATCACATTCACGCCAAGCGGGGCCAAGGAATGGCTGGTAGGGTTTAGAAGCGGCATCCTTCATCGGGGACAATGACGGCCATCAAGGCGAGGCAAGGGCTTGGATGGGCTAGAGGTAGCGACCCGCGCTTCCGAGAGAAGGATCACATTTTAGATATGCGTCACATGGGGCTTGAGTGCTTGAGGCGGCGGCCAGCGTCGGCTACAGCCGCAGCCAGAGGGTTAACTTCCTCGGCTTCACCAACCAATTAGCAACACGCATCACTAATGCACTTCCTCGACCAAACCGATGCACTGTGAAATCAATATGAATACATGTTGCGACACATGTGTCCGTTCATAAACTTAATGATCACAAAAACCCACGGGAACTTTCCGTACGCAATGCTTACAACTTGTAAATGTCGTATGATACGACCACGCACGGAATTGGAATATCAGTGCTTCGCACAGAGGCCTATGCCTGTACTTTCGGCCGATGCTGTTGTCACCGGCTTCGGGGAAGGAACTAGCTCTTCGTAATGCCGAGGCCAATACTCGCATTACTCTGGAGCCCAACCACGTCTGCCATAGGCTCCATTTCGCCTTCAATTGAAGAGTCTTCAGCGTCCCCCAGAAGGAACCGCCAGAATACCCAATAACTCCCCGTCCAAACAAACTGTTCTAAGCGTGGCGACCTTGTCAGATGGCTCAGATCGATCGTGGGCCTTCCCAAACCTCTTGGCCGAACCAAATCAATGCTCGCGAACACCCAAGACGAAATATCCAACCGCCGCGCACTCGGCCCTCTCTCCCCCGAGATCAGCCCCATGCCCCTTCTCCAAGCATCATCCTGGCCAAAGTGCCGACCCTGGATGCGTCTAGGCCACCACGTCGTGCATCGCGCCTCGCGACGCGCGGTCACCTTCGCGCCCTCGCGCTGCTCCCTTTGGGGAAGGGCAGCCGCTCTGGCCCTGACCGCGACGCGCGCAACGTTGCTATCTGTGCGCCTCTGGAGATGACCTAGGTCACCTAGGTGCGTCGACAGGGGGCCTGCTGACGGCACACAAACATGACATACTCTGGACGGTAGGTCTGCAATGGGATAGCTGCGACAATCAAGCGCCATGTAGCGACGGCGCGAGCGAACGCATGCAGAAGAGGACAACTTGTGTGGAACCAGTGGGAACAACCAGATGGAGACGTAAGAGGAATACGATGTAGAGGAAACTAGAGTGGTACGGTCAAGACTTTTCCTCAACGTGTCGCTGCGGCGGCCCCTGCGACGCTACGCCCTGCAAACTGATACCGTTCCGATCCGCTTCGTGCGACGGGGGGTCGGGAGAAACCCGGGACGCTGACGCTCAGGGTGAGTTGGGACGTTCTTAGCGTGTCGCGCCCAAGCGTGGTGGGCCAGAACCGGCGGCGCGACACGCTGAGTCAACGTTCCTGACAGTATCGCCGAAAACGGCAAATTGTGATGTAACGACGGCGCGAGCGAAAACACACACACAGAGGAGGAGGACGAGCTGTGCGGAAGCCGTATGAGCAACACGATTAGTTCGGCTGCCCGACGGGCCAAAGGCGTGCAATAATCTCTGGTAATCGGTACTAGGTTCAGAGTCTTCTTGTATGTTGCTAGTTCGGGCGCGCACGTGGAGACCACGGGAAATCCCCGTGCGAAACGTACCCCGGGTAACCCCGGCCAAACCCGGGGCAGAGATGGTTTCCCTCCTGGGCGCGGCTCTCGGGAGCCGCCAGTGCCTTAGGAACGTCCGAAGATAGCTCAAGATGGGTGCCTCGATCCACGCCCTCGGTCCAGGAACGCTCCAAGACGGCGATGATGGCCTCGAGATGGCCCCAAAGGGCTCCGAGAGCTCACCCAGAGGCCCCAAGACGCCCAAACTCATAGATCCGAATCATACTTGGGACAAGCTCTAGCGGTTGCACCTTGTCTGGTTTCCGACCGCTGAAGATGGTTCAATAAGCACACAAGACCACCCCAAGACAGCCCACGAGGCCGCCAACATGGGCCCGAAGACGACCTGGGGCCCCAACACGGCGCGATAGGCCCCCACCACGGCTCAAGAGGCCTCCCAAACGGCCCCAGGAGAATCCAAAGAAGGAGAACGCAGGGAGGCCTGCGGCGCCTTTCCCTTCAAGACGGCTCGCGAGGCCCCGAACATACCCCGCGGGGGCCTCATTAAGCCCCCAACGGGCGCCACAGAAGCCCAAAACCCAAGACGGCCCAAGGCTCCCAAGAGAGCCTCCGCGACCGCCAGAGGGCCCGTTCTATTCTCATGAGAGTCTCCATCAAGCACACCATGACGCACGTCGTATATCATAGACGATCAGCTGGCCCCCGAGATGGCTCCGTGCAGCCTCAATTCGGCGCACCCCTCACGCATCGCGTGCCCCATGGACATTCAGGGGCTATCCGCTGGCTCTCAAGACGGTTCAAGGAAGCCTCGATTCGGTACGCCCCAACGAACGTCGTGCCGCATGCACCCCCCAGGGGCCCTCAGCTGACTCCTGAGACGGCGCACGGAAACCTTTACTTCGGCACACCTCGCACGCATTTCGTGCCCCATGGACCCCCGAAGGCTCCTCAGACTGCATGGCTGACCCAAGGGACGCCAAAAAGGTCCTGAAGCAATTTGCAAACGTGCCGTGTCGACCTCGTCGAAGCCGTGCCCCAGACCACCCACTGATTGCAAGACCTGCGTGCGAATTTCCCCAGGGTGCCCGACAAGACTCCCGCCCTGCGGACCCGATCAGATGAATCAGAGGCACAGTCGAGGCATGGCCACGAGAACACTGGTCAAGTTCGCGAGGCCCTTCGCCGAAGGCCAGAAGGCCTGCTGGAAGTACCTCCCGAACGAAGGAACGCCCCCGGCGGAGAGCCCGGACGCGAAGAGCACAAGGGTGCCCCGCCGAGACTGGCGCAGAGCGGCGGCGACCACGAGGGGGGTGGCGCGAAGGGGGTGGGCCTCCAAAAAGGCGGGGGCTGCTCGGAGGGCAGGGGCCTTCTCTGGAGAGCCCGGCAGCTTCTGAGAAGGCCTCCTGAAAGCCAGGAGGGCTTCTGAGAAGAAACTTGCCTTCTTGGAGGCCTCTCCATTCCTGCGGCGGCCGCCCCACCCCACCCCTGGGCAGGGGCCGTTCAGTAGACCCAAGCCACAAGGGCGACAACAGCCACAACACGCTGCTGACCCTGAGATCCGATGCTGCGACAAGCTTGCGACATCGCAGAACATCACGACCAGAGCCCCAGACCCGACTCGTCTACGGTGTTTTTTCGAGCCGCGTCGATCTGTGATGGCCCAGGGCCCCAGAGCCTGACAAAACCGCCCAGTGTAAACACCTCGAGACGCCCAAATCTCAGGGATGAGGGCATGCGGCCGAGCAGCGCGTCAAGCAGGCTGGGCGGCCCCTCCTCGGCGCTGCCACGGCGCCACGCCCCCCTCGACCTTGACCGGGCGCCCGGCGGGGCCACTCGCCGAGCGCCCATCCACGGCCAGCTGCTCTCGGGCGGCGGCCACTAGCAGGCAGGCTCCTGCGCTTCCCTTCTCGTCTGACCCACCCTCCCTCCCTCCCCTTCCCTCACCCCCCTCTCCCTCTCCCGCTCTATGTCTATGTCTCTGTCTAGGTCTTTCACTCTTCTGTCTCTCTCACTCCTTACCTTCTTGCCATCCTTCCTTCGACTCTCTTCTTCTCTACTCCTTGTCGTCCTCCTGTGTGGGGGGCGGGCTCAACCGGTGATAGGCCAAGGCTCTCCTGCGATGCTTCCAGAAGCCTGGAGAGCCTCATCGCCACATAAGAACATGCACGGTACGCGCTCGGAGCAGCCCTCAATGGGGGGCTCACCAGGCAGCAGCAAGCGAAGGGCCGAAGCTCTCCCTGCAATCTCGCGGCTTCTCCAGTAGGAGTTCGTGGCACGCACTGCCCACCCGAAGGGGCAAGAGGGGAAGGGATTCTGGGGTGGTGGTCTGGGGCCCGTGCCGCGGCGGCATTTCGCGCTCTCGCCTCGGCGCCGCGAATCTTTTCGAACGCGGTGTTTTCGCCCTGGCGCTTGGCGCATTGTTGGCAGCATCCTGATGGCAATTCGAGCCTCGTTCGGCCTGCAGAGGTCGGCGGGGCCTGCGCGCGGCGTTCGCCGTCTCCGTCGGGGTCGGCAGGGCCTGCGCGCAGCGTCCGCCGTCTCCTAGGATTTCCTTGTGTATATTCCCCAGGATGGATTCCTGAGGAAGAATTCCTCAGCAAACGTTCCTGAATCAGGGGTCCATGATGCAGATTCTTTCGAACATATTCATGAATCACGAACCCTTCGTAAGAGTTGCTTAGTGAAGATTGTGCAATAAAGACGCCTCAATCGAGTTTCATGAATTTAGATTGCTTGGTAATGATTCCTCACTGACGATTCCTTTGCCAAGACTCCTTAATCAAAATTCCTTACTACGGGTTCCTTAACACAGATTACTCATGGAGCACTCCTTCATAAAGGTTCCTTAACACATATTCCTTCGTACCTGTTCCTTACTGCAGATTCCTTGCGAAGGAGGATTTCTCAATGAGGATTCCTCAGTGAGGATTCGTTATAGACAGGATTCTTCAATGCACGCTTCTCATCGAAGATTCCTTAGGGTTCATGCATGGAGGTTCCTTAATCTAGATTTATGCAGTAAGGATTGCATCATGCATATTCCTTTTTAAAGACCCTTTAGTGAGGATTCCACCGCATGGGTTGATTGGTAGAGTTCCCAGACTAAGGATCCCTGAGTGAGGAGTCCTGGGCGATGATTCCTGAGTGAGGAAGCACCAATAAGGATTCTTCAATGCGCATTCCTCAATGCAGATATCTTAATGCAGATTCCTTAGCACATAGCTGTTGCGAAACATTCCTTCGCAAATATCCTCTAGTGCAGGTTTCTTGCTACAGGTTTCTTGATGCAGGTTGCTTTAATACATATTCATTAATAACGACTCTTTAATAAACATCCCTTAGTGCAGATTCTTTGCTAACTATTCCTTGGTAATGGTTCCGGAATAAGGATTCTCCAGCACGGCGCCTTTTATCAAATATTGTTTTGTACATATTCTCTCGCACATATTCCTGATTGAATTCTCCTTGATACTTTCCTTTCTACGAACTCCTCTGTAAATATTCAATACTAAGGACCCCTTAATTGCGATTCCTGATTCAGACTCCCTCGAAACTCCCGACGAAGGATCTCTTATAACATATTCCTTATCAAGGAGCCCTCATCAACGATATCTCATGCGGATTCCCCATGGCGCTTCCTCGCTAACCTCGAGAAATTCCTTCGGAAAAAATGATTTTTTGTTGTTTTAGAACATTCCTTACTAAGGATTTCTGAGTGAAGGTTCCTCAGCCACGATTCCCTAGTGATGGTTATTCAATCAGCGTTCCCCAGCCATGTAAAGATTATTCAATGCCAAGCAGCGCCTAAAGATGCAAGCAATGGCAAGAGCAGGACAACCCATTGCTTAGCACCGTCAGCCACGACCCACCAAGTCAAGGCAGTGCCAAGCACGAATAACCAATGCTGGTAACCTCAAACTAATGCCAAGCAGCGCCGTGGATCACCAAACAATTCCAAACAACGCCAAGCACGACCAACCTACGGATTCCTTCGTGAAGTTCCTTTACTACGAACTCCTCTGTAAGTATTTAATACTAAAGGACCCCTTAATCACGATTCCTGATTCAGGCTCCCTCGGAACTCCCGACGAAGGATCTCTTACAACATGTTCCTTACCAAGGAGCCCTCAGCAACGATTTCTCATGCGGATTCCCCAATGGAGATTCCTCGCCAACTTCGAGAATATTCCTCACACGATGATGAAACTTTTGTTGCTTTAGAGCGTTCCTGACTAAGGATTTCTGAGTGAAGGTTCCTCTGCCAGAATTCACCAGTGAGGTTTAGTCAATCAGGTTTCCCTAGTCATGTAAAGATTTATTCAATGCCAAACAGCGCCTAAATATGCCAGGCAATGTCAAGAACAGGACAACACATTGTCTAGCACCGCCAACCACGACCCACCAATTCAAGTCAATGCCAAGCACGAATAACCAATGCTGATACACTCAAACTAGTGCCAAGCAGCGCCATGGATCACCAACCCAGTTCAAACAACGCCAAGCACGACCAACCAATGCCAAGCACGACCGTCCAATGCCGAGCGTGCCCTACACGCGCCAGGCAATGGCAAGAGCGGGGGCACACACTGCCAAGCACCGCCAAGCATGACCAACCAATGCCAGGCGATGCCAATCACGCCCATTCAATGCCATGCGCGACCAACCAACGCCAAGCATGATCAACCAATGCCACGCAATGCCAAGCGCGACTGTTCAATGGCGCGCGCGACCAAGCCATGCCAGGCAATGCTAAGGTCGACCAGTCAATGCCACGCGGAATCGCACAATGCTGAGAAATGCCAAGCACGAGTAACCAGTGCGAAGTAAAATCGACCACGACCACCCAATGCCAAACGCAACCAAGTCACGCCAAACACAACCAACCAAGGCCAAGCTGGAGCACTCGTTTGCAAGCAACTCCAAGCATGATCAACGAATGCCAAGCAATGCCTCGCCCAGTAGCACTGGAGCATCGCATCAGCAGTGGAGCATCACCACAATATACAGGGCATCGTGCCGGGGCTATTCCACAGGAGCCACCAGTCCGAAACAATCGCTGTCAGGGCCGCCGCCAGCGCGCCGCCGTGGACGAATAGAAAAAAAAGAAAGCAAGGGGCAGGCAAAGGGGGGGAGGAGGATCAGGGGGCCTAAGGGGCACCAGGGGACATCGGAAGTGGCGGCGGCGGGGCCGGCCCTCGAAGCCAGCAGCGGCGGCCTCGGAGCGGCGGCCCTCGAGCGCTTCTTGGGGGGGGGGGGGAAATAAACAAATAAAAATCCAGGCAGTTTTTGTTTTTTCTTCTTTCCCCCCCCCCAGGCGGCGGCGCCGCGGGCGGTAGAGGGGGCGTTCTGGCCTCTCGCCCTTTCCTCCCTCTCCCGCTCCCTCCCTCTCCCCTCCCCCCTACCGCGCCGCTCCCGCGCCTTGTTCTCTCTCTCTCTCTCTCCATATCTCTCTCTCTCTCTCTCTCTTTAAGTCTCTGGCTCTCTCTTTATCTCTCTCTCTCTGTTTCTCTCTCTCTCTCTCTCTCCGACGCTCCCGCCCTCTCTCTCCCGCTCTCTCTCGATCTACCAGGCCCTCCTTCTCACCCCCACCCGCGGTGCAACGCGCACCTCGGAAGTCAATCGTGCCGCGCGTCGGCCCCCCAAAACCGCCACCCCAGAATCCCCCGTTCTCAAATGTCGAGCGGATGGGCGGGATGGCACCTGTCAAACTATTTGAGAACCTTTTCTGGAACCGTGTGCGCTTCTTGACTTGCACGTGTCATCTTTGCGGAAGGGAAGGGAATGCCTGGTGGCAATCGTCATATCAAATGTTCCCTGCTCTGATGCTTTGCCACTGCTGGTTCCAATTGTGGCAATAATTCGTTTCAGATGCTACGGCTGCAATCACTAGGGCAAATTGGGGTAACCATGGTCACCAACCCGGTAGAACACCGAGGCACGAGTGATACGCCCGCGATGTGAAGGCCCGCAACCTCCCACCAGCAAACACAGAACACGCAGAGCAGCGAAGGAGCCCAGAACACGCAGAGCAGCGAAGGAGCCCGAGGCGGGGTCTCCTGACGTTCTTCACGTACTGCAGGTGGGGAGAAACGCGGGCGCTGTCCTCACCAAGACGCCTGCAGTCCAAACGAACATGATGCAACACACGCGTTAATGCCGAATCCTTGTCATGTAAGAAGCCCCAGGCCCTGACATCCGCCATTTTTTGTTGTTGTGTGTGTTTGTGCAATCCGCACCCCCAGAGGTCCCGACCGCTTCCCCAGACGTAGTTTTCTGTAGTTTCCTGTTCTGAATTCATTATGGTACTATGGTCCTGGGGCCCGAACGGCCCCCAGAGGGCCGACATCTATTGAAAACCAGCTGGCCAAAACATTCACGTCGACGGAGATCTGGAGCGCAGATCCGAGCGACGAGACAAACTGGAAGAGAGCGACAATGAATGATCAACAAAACGGTGTACCTGAGGCCCTCACGCATGCATGCGCCCCGGGAGTAGACGTGCTCGACGTCAGCCGCGCTCCAGAGGGGCGAGGACGGGAAGCACAAGGGCTCTGGGCTTCGCAGCACTGGCGCAGACCGGATCACCCCCGTCAA